GATGATTGCATAAGTCTTCTCTGTTCGCCAGGCTCCATAAACCGCGCGCCACCCTGCAACCAAAGAAGAAATGGGAAAAGGATTTTGGTTCCGCCGAACAGATGGGACATTCCGTGGTAGGAACCAGAGTTTTGGTGAACAGGACTGTTTGAAGCGGGAGGAAGCCACTGACAGCCCGCCAGAAGAAGAACCTCAAATTGGGCGGCACCGGCAAGCTCCAAAGAAGTTTCCAAAACCGCGACTCAAACGGCAGTAGGGGCGGTGGGTGGGCCACGTTATACTCGTTTGACAGTAGATGGTAACCTGTCTTTACAGTATAAACTCCAGAAGGGGAGTAATGCCAAATCATTCTGTCTAAAGTATAAGAAACAGGAAGAGGAATGGACAAAATAAGATCCACACTCACAGGCATGAAAAGAGAGTTCAGGAGATCTGTCTTCCACGAATGGGATGTATGGCAAATGAGCTCGGAAACTAGTGAAGGGCAGGATTGTATACCTGGACGTAATTGGGGGTATGATGGGGGAGATGATGGCAGCCAATTGTCCAGCATAACCCGGATTTGTGTCCCGTCTCTGACCTGCCACCGCAAACCACGCTTGAGCAGATCCCTCCCTTCCAAAATACCCTGCCAAGCCCAGGATGGGCGAGCACCCGCTGAAGCATCAAGAAAGTCATGTAACGGGTGGTAGCGATCCTTATAGATACGGGCGAGGGTGCTGGAAGGGCTGAACAATACTCGCCAAGCTTGTTTAGCTAGAAGCGCAATGTTAAACCTGTTAAAGTCCCAAAATCCAAGCCCACCTGTAAACTTGCTTTGACAGATTGCACTCCAAGAAATCCAATGTATGCCTTTCTCCTTATCCTGTCCAGCCCACCAGTGCTTTGATAGCAGGCCATTGCATCTACGACAGGTTTCCTGAGGTAGCCGGAAAGCCGACATGGCGTAAATTGGACCAGCAACCCCAATCGCCTTGATAACAACTTCCTTCGCCGCCAATGATAAGGCCTTTGTCTTCCAACTACTAATTCGAGCCGCCAAATCTTCCTTAATGAATTGGAAAGATAGGGATTTATAGCGGCGGATTTGAGAAGGAAGTCCCAAATACCTGTCCTCCGGCTGCATAATTCCCACCCCTAAAAAGAAGCTAATTGCATGGAACTCCTGATCTGAGACATTGCCACTAACACACACAGCTGATTTATGCAGGTTAACCCGTTGACCACTATACAGCTCATAATCAGAAAGTAATTGCATCAAATTCGCACATTCAGGAATAGAAGCTCTGAGAAACAGGTAAGAGTCATCGGCGAAAAACAAATGTGAGAGGGGAGGAGCTGACCTGTGAACTCTTAACTCATGAAGGGAGGAGGAGGCGATCTCTCGGCTGATCTTGGCAGAAAAGGCTTCCGTGTAAATGGCGAACAGCAGTGGTGATAACGGATCCCCTTGGCGAATCCCCCTCTGAGGTTGAAAGTAACCATACTGAGCTCCATTGAGTAAAACTGAAAAACGGACCGTTGATACACAGGCTCTGATCCATAGCATCCACTTCTCACATAATCCAATCGATTGCATAACCTGGAAAAGAAACTCCCATTCCACTCGGTCATACGCCTTTTCCATGTCGAGCTTTAATGCCATCCATTTGTCTTGTCCCCGGATCTTGGTCTTGAGAAATTGCATCACTTCCTGGCCAATGAGAATGTTATCGGAGATGCACCGCCCCTCAACAAAACCATTTTGAAACTGACTAATGATTTGAGGAAGAATGGAACTGAGTCTTGATGCTAAGATTTTGGCGTTAATTTTATACAAAACCTGGCATAACCCAATAGGCCGCATTTGGCACATGGAGTCAGCATTGGCAACTTTCGGAATGAGGGTCAGCAGTGTGTGGTTCACACTATGGAGCAAACGGCCTGTTTGGAAGAATGATAATATGGCTTCAGATACATCCCAACCTATCTCTTCCCAAAATCTTTAAAAGAATGCAGCAGTAAAGCCGTCAGATCCGGGAGCTTGGCCTTTCCCAATGTTAAAAACTGCCTTCCTGATTTCCGACCTAGATACCTGCATAGTGAGCTGATCATTCATTGGCCATGTTACCTTGAGAGGAAGATCCAAACTACGTATAAAATCTGTGGGGTTCAAGCCATTCGAGGAAAATAACAATTCAAAGTAGGATACTAAGACTTCCCCTTTAGCTGATTCAACAGTTTGGAGTTCCCCTTACACATCATGAATGCCAGGAATGAAGTTCTGCCGCCTTTTCCGCATTGTGGTCAAGTGGAAGAAATGAGTGTTGGCATCACCACCATGGAGGAGTTGACTCGCGATTTCTGCTTCCAATACAACTCCTCCTGTTTGTAGGCATCAACAAGATGCCTCTCTAAGTTATTGATAATTGACCAATCAACTGCACCAGCCTCCCTTGCAGCATCAATAGCCCCTCGCAGTTCTCGGATTTGGCGGGCTGAGTTTGTCGTACCTGCATTGGCCCACCCAAGCAGCTCCTGTCGAACATGCTTCAGTCGAGTTTGCACTTGGAAAAGAGGAGTGCCACCAGCAGGTTGCTGCCATGCCGAATGGACTAGAGGAGGTACATCCGGGTTGTAATCCCAACGTCGGTCGTAGTGAAATCTTCGAGCTCGGTTGTCCTCTGTCTTCACCAATCTCAACAGAAGCATCCTGTGATCAGACCCCCTGTCAGACAGATGGTGAACCTGCACATCAGGCCATAAAGCAAGTACATGATTATTCCCCAAACACCAATCCAACCGTGATTGGATATGATCATCATTTGATTGTCGGTTAGTCCAAGTAAACCGAGGTCCAATGTACCCCAAATCATGAAGCCCCGCCGCCTCCAAGAAGAGGTTGAGTTGAGCAAGGGCTGCTGGGGAAGGGGTTCGGCCTCCTTGCTTTTCACTACTAGAAAGAAGACAGTTAAAGTCACCAATCACAAATACCGGGTCCTCATACAAGGAAATCAGATATGAAATTTCATTCAATTGGAATTGGCGGAGGCCTTCTTCGGAGCTTAAGTGCACAAAGACTACACCACATCTTCCTAAAGAAGGGTGCTCACATTCAACAAATAAAAACCCTAAAGACTCTACTGAAACTGTACAAACCAGACTAGAAGACCAGGCAACAACTAAGCCACTACCATTATTGGACACACTATGAACTTGCTCCGCAGGGAAGCCTAAACTACCAAACTGCTGAATCACAAACTCATCATCCCTCATGGTTTCACTCAAACACACAAGCACCGGAGATTCTCGGAGCAATGTCTCCTCCAGGACTGGAACTGTCAGGGGCGCTCCCAATCCCCTGCAATTCCAGGCGAGTATGCTCATGGATCGGACTGGGACCGATCAGGGCCGGTTGACTCCACCTCCAGCTTCTCGTTGGACCTTGCCTCGTTGCCTTTTGCCCCAAGCCTGGCTCTCTTAGCATTTGGCTCATGCTGCTCAGCCATTCTCTCATCTTGCTGTTGCGAATTCACCAAGGAACTGGTTGGCAGGCCTTCCGGAGGAGCAGAGATGCAGAGCTGCCCCAAGTGGGATGCCATTCCCAGGTGGAATTTGGAGGGTTGGTGACCCATATCAAGAGCTACACCAGGTTGTGCCCGCCTACCTGACGAAGCAGCTGCCATCTGATTCCCCGAGCGATTTCCGGCCATCGTCCACACAAACCACCGCCTTCTACGAGCCAGCGTGTTTTCATTCTCTCTCGGACCAAGCTCTTGCGCCACCATATGCTTTCCATATCTTGGCGGTTGCCCATCCAGTTCATCCTTCCTCGAACAATTCCTATTCACATGCCCAATCACACCTCAAAGAAAACAGAATTGGGGAAGTGACTCAAACTTCACCTTGGCTTTGAAGCACCCTTTCGAAGGGTCCTCATGGGCAGCAGAGATCTCATCCGGAAGGGGAAGTTGCAGATCTAGGGTGATCTTCATCCTGAAGTAAAGCCCACTGGTAGAAACTGAGCGGTGGATTGTGGCCGCCTCTGCAGGTCCCATAGCAGCCCCAAGCAAGGAACCGAGTCTCCCGGTGCAGCAGTAGAAGGGCACTCCCCAGATTTGGACGATGAGCGGTACTCTGATGAGATCAGCAGCCAACTCCGCCGTTGTTTTTTCCCATTTCTTAACCTGGATGAGGAACTTCTCAAACACCCAAGGTGACCCAGCTAGAATCCGACGAGCAGTCGCCGAATCAGGGAGAACGAACTGCAGGAGATCCCATTCCACCACCGCCACCGTGAAATCGCACTTCCAGACCCTCCCAATGATCGTCTGCAGCGTCGGTAGAGAAGGGAGTGGCCCACAAAGTCGACCAATCAGAGTTTGGTCAATCCGCTGGGCACCCGCTGCAACGTCCGCATCATTGAACTGAATCGCCGCCATGGAAACGGATCGCAATTGGACTCCTACAGCAGGGGGAAAAGAATTGCCAGGGAAGATGAGAAGTGAATCTCCAAACCCAAGACGCTGGTTACCCCCTTTTATCACGATTTCGGCGAGGAAGTACCAGAACCGACGGGGGAGGATGGCGGAAACTTCTCGTTCCATCGGCGCACCAAGGCGAAAAGCCCACCCACTCGCCCAACATGGGAGAGAGGGGGGGGGGGGGGGAGGATTGCTTTGCATTTTTATTTTTTTTTTACTGCACTTGCATGTTGAGATTTTTTTTTGGTCACTAATCTTTTTATTTTCGATGTTTTGGAGATTACAAGGTAGTCCGCCATAAGAGAAAATTCGAAAAGTTCCCGCCCTGCTTTAAAAACTAATGGCCGCGGTAGCGGGAACTCGAAAAAATTCAGCTTTCCACCTAAAAAACATATGGAAACATTAAGCTCCCACAAAAGCCATTTCGAATCCAATGGCTCTTCAATAAAACTCCAGATTCCAGAAAACCTCAATCTCCTTCTTCTTGCCCTCTTCTTCATCTTCTTTACCCTAAACCCTCCTTCATCTCCACCATTAATGGAGGCTCCAAGCTCCAGCTCAAGGTGCAGATCCGGTTCCTTCTTCCAGGACATCAGATCAAGAGAACTCAATGGATTCCGAGGTACAAATCCCTCCCCCCCCCCCCCTCTCAATGGATTCCGAGGTACAACTTCCATTCCTTCAAATTAGTTCGGAAGCGCCCGTACAACGAACACTCGCAGCTTCAGTTTACCGAGATGGGAGAGGTTGCAGTTGAACACAACGGCGACGAAACTCCCCCGCTGGCAATCTCGTTCTGCAAGGTGAAATCTTCGATTTTGTGTGTAGACGGCTAAAAATGCTCATATTCTCGCGGTATCCGATGAGGAAGGCTACCTGAGCTTGTTTGATTCACGGCGGAATCTTTCCTCCGCCGCTACTCGTCAAGAAAATACAGGTCTGTTTGGGCGGTTTCTTTTATTGGTTCAATTTGCAGCGTCACGAAGTTTCTTATGTTTTATTTTTGTACTAATTTATGAACATTGCTGGTTTGTTGCAGGGAAAGCAAGAATCACGGAGTGGGTAGCTCATCAGAACGCCATATTTGATATTCGTAGGATTAAGGTACAATTTGCTTGGAAATTTTCTTTATCTACTAAGCTTGCTTCAGCGGAATGGACCATGGTTATGGACATTGTTTCTGACATTTGTTTTCAGGATGACGCCAGAATTCTCACAGCTTCAGGAGATCAAAGCGTGAGTACCCATTTCATTGTTTGAAACATATACCTGATGTAGCTAATTGGATATCCAAGTTTAATTTGAAGTGAAACAGAGCTTGTGATAGGCTATTCTAGTTTCAACTTTCAACGTTTGATTAAATTCTGTTCTGCAGATTCAATTGTTGGATGTACAAGGGAAGAAATGCATTGGCGTGTTAATGGGGCACACTGGAAGTGTTAAATCTCTGTGTTCCAATCCAACTAATTCCGGTAATTTGCTTTACATTGCTTGTTTCGATTGTCGATAGCTGCTAATTGTCTTGTTGCTAACATGGTTTCATTTCGATTATACCCCTCAGACCTTCTTGTCTCTGGTTCAAGAGATGGTTCCTTTGCTTTGTGGGACTTGAGATGCCAAAGTACTTCCACCAGACGGTCCACAGAAACTTGCTTAAGGTAATTCTTCACCTTTTTTTGCTCAATCCAGTAAGGGTGCACGCTTTTGGACATGTTGGTATCCATACTAAACTAGTTCTTGTGATCCACATAGTTCAACTGCGGTGGTAAAACGAGCTCATCTTTCAACACAAGCAAAACGGGTTAGGCGGACCAAGGTTTGTTGATGATAACTTTCTTGAGAAAGTACTGAAGTATAGCAGTAGCTGATTGCTAACATTGTATTATGCTTTTCGGTTGAGCAGACGGCTTCCACAAGCATCACCTCAGTACTTTATCTCAAAGATGAGGTGTCCATAGCTACTGCTGGTGCTGTAGACAGGTTGGTTTGCAAAGAACATCAAGAGATATTTTCTATATCATTATGTCCTCGAAATGTAAACATACCAATCCTTTGCCATCAATGTGTAACATGTTAGCATTGTCAAGTTCTGGATACTAGGAATCTGAAATCTCAAGTTACTCAAGTCTCCCCACAACCTAAGTCATCAGTTGAAAAGGTAAGCACTCAATGGTTGCCCAACAATATGAAGGAAATCTGATTTCCATAGTCTTAATTGCTAAGAGTTGCTGCTTCTCATGCCTCAGGTGAATATAATGCATGGTATATCCAGTCTATCTCAGGACTCTAATGGGATGTTCCTTACAGCATCATGCATGGATAATAGGTACTCCATTTTTATCCTAATATGGAGGAATACTACACATTCATATCAAGGACGCTGCACATCTAACCATTTTTCGTTCCTTCCAGAATTTACTTGTACAATGTGCTCCAGCTTCAAAAGGGTCCTGTAAAATCATTCACTGGATGCCAAATAGAATCCTTCTTTGTAAAGGTACTTCTTCACATTTCAGAAATCACTCCATCTCTTATTACTTTATGCCTGAAGTACTCTGCAAATTCTAGATGTTTGGTCTGTATGCTCTTGCAGTCAGTGATTAGTCCTGATGCTTCTTCCATACTCAGTGGGTCTAGTACTGGAAATGCTTACGTGTGGCAGGTTTGATGCTCTAACTCACAGCAGCCTTCTTAACATATCCTCTTCTGTTGTCTCTTCTTCTGTAACTGGTATAGCATTTTACAACAGGTGGAAAGGCCCCAAATGGATCCTACAGTATTAAAAGGTCATGATGGAGAAGTAACAGCAGTAGATTGGTAATCTCATATGAATCCTTTTTTGGTCTTTTGGTAATGGTTTCACTTCACACATTTGCTTTTCACTAACCGCAAAATCAACATATGTAGGTGCCAATCTGAAGAAGGCAAGATAGCAACTTGTGCAGATGATTTCACGGTAAGTGGATTATTAGTCTTTGCAGTCTCTTGTTAATGAAGTTCCCTAAGAAGATGGCATTAGTTCTGTGTAACTTATCAAATTCAAATTTCTGCAAATGTATAACATACAGGTTCGTGTTTGGAATGCTGAAACCAACTATAGTTCAAGCTCTAGATCACCAACTTCGATCAGGAGGAGAATAATGACTCTCCCCAGTCGGGAACAAAGGTAGTTGAATCTTGGTAGTGTAGATAAAGATTCTTCAGATCCTGAAAAAGCCATGAACCGCCAAATTACCTTACTGTTTAGGCCTAGAATGTTCCAGGCGGTTGAGTGCAGGGCAAGCAAGACGTCTGTTCCAGATGAAGGGTGCACTCCAATTCCTGCAAAACAAGGGTTCGTGGGCGGTTCCCCGTACACTCTCCGATGCTTAAGTTAGAGAGAGAAGTAAGAAAATGTTGTTTAGGTTCAGATAGAGAGAGAGTAGTTGAGTTACCATTAATGCCGATACCAGTGTATTTATAGTCAGCCAGCCTAGGTATGAGGCATTTAATGCCATGTCAGGCGGCCTAAGCACACTTGACTTTACCTGGACCGCCTACGGCGGGCATTAAATGCCCAGTCCTGCTGTGTACGAGGATAGAATCCTAGGGAGATCCGTCTTCCTGACACCAACGGTCTCTTGTGTCAGCCAGCCTACTTTCCGTCACTTCATAGGGCGGCCGGCTGTGGTGTCTCTTTTCCCCATGCCTCCTCGGGTTTCGCTCTTTGACTTGGTCCCTTCCTTGTGGGCTTAGCCTCTGTCTCCTTGTGGGCTTACACGGGCCTCTTAGGCCCAACACCGCTTAACTATGAGCCCAACAATTGCCCTTTAGTCGTGAAAAGCTGCGGGTTTTGGCGGCTACATGTTTGCTCTGTGATAGTTAAGCGGTTCTGGGTTCAACAAGCACCTGCCCTTTGCCCCTGGCCGCCAAAAGATGGGGGTTGTCAGTTATGCGTTCCGCTGTTCTTAATACTCGGCGTCCTCGACACCCTCTTAACTTTGACGAACGTTCTCGCTGTGTTCTTCCCTCAGGGCATGAAGTGTATGTATTCACGTCTCTAAGCGGTTTTTCATGAGCGCTGTGCGAGCGTTGTCCACCCCCCTGCAAATCGTGCCCGAAGTCCCACGGTCCAACATTTCTTCTAAGCGGTTATCTCGAGCATGCTTGCGGGTTGCGTCCTTTAGTTACTCCAGGCTTGTGCGGTTCATACGGCGGTCGGTTCAGATTCCGCGGAACGCTCCGCCACTGCATGTTGCGTCACGTGTCCGTTCTCGGAACCCGAGCCTCTGACAGCGGGCAGCCTCACGTCCAATCACCTGCCCGCATTTTTGAAATCCTTAGACTAGGGTTTCCCCTCGGTCACTGAACCGTCGCTTCACCTGCCCCCCTTCGTTTCCTATTTAAACTCGTTCTCCCCCTCAGATCATTCACATCCTGATTTCGTTTCTTCACATCAGCCAAAATTGCTAGTTGCTCCCGATTCTCCCTTTCTTCCTATTTGCGAGATAATTCTTCTTTGTCGCCGGCGCGAACGGATTTCCTCAAGAAACTCCGACGTAAACAGAAGCGAGCCAAAAGAAAGTCCCAGTTCAGAATGGCAATCGAGTCGCAGAGCACCACTCAATCCGACAGCCAGAATAAAAACCTATCAAGTGACGTTGCCGCCGTCACCACTTCTAGCGGCGGCGCTGGTACAACCGCCTCCGGTGATGTTCCCAACACCTCGGGCAGTGCTCCCCGCTCCTCCGGCGGACCGCCCTCAGCGAACAAGCAGCCCGCAACAGGTACTTTGCTCTTCCTTTTGCGCGGTTATAGGTTAGGTTTCCAATTAGTTTTCGTCTTGCACGAGCTTCGTTAGCGAAATACTTAGGCGGTCCTTCTGTGGCCTTCTAGGAATAGAATCTGCGCTCCAACTTGCCGCTGGGACGTCGACTGGTCGGCGTAGAGCATCATCGGCGGTTGGCGATAACTTGGGAGGATTCGACTACTCAGAGGCTGAGAGCGAACCGCCCACTGCTCCTGTTGTTGCCCTTTCGTCGGACAGTGAGTCTGGCGAGCGCCCAGTGGCGGGCGAAGGTAACTTGCAACTATCTGGCGAGCGGCCAGTAGAGAGTGAGAGGGAGCTGTCCCCTTCGCTAACGATATCTGAGTCGCTCCCAGTGGCGGCGTTCCAAGCCGTCAACGACAGCGTATACCGTGTGAGACTGCACGCGGATATGTGGGAAGGGGAGGCGGTTCCTCAGAGCGCGTTTGAGCAAGGACCGCCTAACGAAGCGGCCTACAAGTCTCATCAAGTTTTGCGCCAACTGAAGGCGCACGGTCTCCCCACCGATTGGGATTATGCGGCCCCTTCACCCGTTGGGCGGTCCGGTTCGTGCCCCGGAGGTTGGATCCCCATCCACGTGGAGCACATTCGGATGGGGTTGACTTTTCCGCTAGACCCCATCATCACTAGGACACTTTTGTTCCTGAACTGCTCCTTGGGCCGCTTATCGCCCGACATAGTCTTCCATTCCATCGCTTTCAGAGCCGCCTGTGAGACAATCGGGGAGGCGGCCCCTTTTGATGCTTTTCGGTTGCTATACAAGATGAGAGGCTCTGAAAACTGCTGGTCCTGCTACCGTCGAGAAGCGAAGATAGGATTTGTCAATGGGGCGCCGAAATTGGACTCTCCTTGGTTCAAAGAGTATTTTTTCGCCCGTCCCAAAGGCAGTTGGTACTCTGGTGATGTAGAGCCGCCAACCGGCTTCGCGGTTGGAGATAAGCGTGATTGGAATACTGACATCGCTGGCCTCATAACTTTTAGGCCGTTTTTGAAGCGGCTTATGAGCGCTTATCAGATTGATCTCCCTCCGAAAGGCAGTGATAATGCTCTGGAAATAATTCGGCGTTTTCATGGTTAGCCGCTTTCCCTTTGTACTAATTGCATGCACTTGTTCATTACTCATGTCTTTCGTTTTCAGGTGCTCGCCGCTATGCTTCTGCTGCAAGACCGCCGAAACCTGGGACCGGCGCTCCCGCTTCTCCTCATCCTGCTAACGCTGCTCTTTCCGCGGCTCCCTCTGTTCAACCGCCTTCACCCTCGCAAAAGTAGCTGGTGCCCAGTCGCTCAGGAGTTTTAAAATTGTCTGAGCCTGCTCCCCTCCGGAAGTCTTCGAAGCGGCCTTTGGACATCACAACTTCGAGGGACTTGGCCGCAACCGCTCCAGAGCCTCGATTGAAAGGCATCCTGGTAGAGAAACCCGCTACTCCACTCGACGCGTACGTCGCTCCTAAGAAGCCCAAAAGGACCGCCGTCGATACCTCTGTTTCCTTCTCGTCCCAGGCTTCCCTCTACCCTTCGGCCGCTAAGCGTGCCATGCATGTGATCGCCGAGGGTCTGGCGGTTCCCAGTGATTACACTCACACTTCGGGGACTCCTGTCTTAGCCTCGGATACCAAACATCTGGCAGCCGCCACCTCGCGTCTCTTCTTTGCGGTATACGGCCTTATCACTGCTCCGGTTTTGTTACTATGCTTAGCTGTTTTCACTTAACTTTTATTGCTTACAGACCCAGTTTGGTTTAAACCAAATGATGCTGCAAAACGACCGCCTGGAGAGTGACCTTTTGGATGAGAAGACTCGGGTCCTCAAGCTAGAGGATCAGCTGAAGGAGGACCGCGAGGGGATTAAAGCGGAAGTACGGGCAGAGGTTTTGAAGGAGCAGGCGCAGCTGTTGAAGGAGAAGGACGTTCAGGTGGAGTCGGCCAGGGAACAGCTGAAGAAGGTCGAAACAGATGCTGAGCGGCTGCGGGCGGACCTTAATGATTCTCTTGCTCGTGAGAGCGCATTGCAAACTGAACTGTCCAAGATCCGAGCGGAGAAATCCGAGATGCAGGACGCTCGCGAGGCTGACATGCTGCAGGCTGCCAAAGAAGCACGGGAGACATTCTGGACCTCCGCGGAGTACCAGGTCGCGGACGACAAGAAGTAGAAGAAGCTACTTCGCGACACCGTGGCCGCCATCCGTCATTGGTTCCGCCGTGAATACCCCGAGGTAGTGTGGGACACTAACTCGATTTGGGATGCGGTTGAGTTCTGGAGTGATGACGATATCAACTCTGAGTATGTGCCGTCCCCCGAAGCGCCCACAGATCCTTCGGTGAGCGTCGCGGCCGGAACCGCTGAGGATGGGGAGGGAGGGCAAGAAGGAGAGCAGCAAGATGGTGAGCATCCTGATGGGGAGGGCGGTCCGCAGCTAGATTAGTTTTGAGCTGGACTTATTTTA